GTGGGGAAAGGAGAGGGAGGGGGGGGTTTGCTGGAACTTGGGAGTGTTTTGCTCCCATTAAATTCATTCAAACCACTACAGGCAGACAGGTAAAGAACACAGAAGGTGAGACCCAAACGAGCCACGAGCTTGCAAGGAGGGGGCAATGCTTCCCCAGTCACCCATCTGAGCTTTGTCATAGCAGAATGCGAGAGGAGAGGGTTTCAATTCCTTCTCTCTTACCTTTCWGCTGAATCAGTGTCAGTGCTGTGCTCAGGTGCCACTTTTGCATAACTCAGAGGCAGATTCAGGCCCACAACTGGGCCCACAGTGCTGAGCCACAGCACGATGTAATTTGTGTGCCTARGGGGAAAAAACACACAAAAAAGCACCATAAACATAATATTCATCTTTTTTCTGAATTGCAGACACACTCAACAGTCATAAAAAAACCACCTCACATGGCATTTCCTCCTTCAATCTTTTCTGTAGCAAATATATTTTCATTTTCAGACTTGAAATGGCAATACACAAATCTCATTCTGCTTGGACTGAGGAAGAAGTTTTGGCCATTTCCACATTGCAGCTGATTGACTTTGCCTGCAGTGCATTAAAGCCTGGCAAGGCYCAGCAGAGCCCCTCACCTGCGGTGTTTGTGGCAGCCCCTCAGCACGGCAGAGATGAATTCGTTGGTTCGGCACGGGTGCAGGACAAAGAAAGGCTGCCCGAGGATGGGGTGCTCCTAAAGGGGAACAAAAGTTGATTCATCAKGGAAGGGAAAAGCAAAAAACTCATTTGGAGTTTTCAAAACTGCATTTAGAAAAGGAAAGGCAGGGCCAAATCAGCCCCCAATGCAACATTTCTCACTTCAGAATCTTAACTGACTTTGCTCTTCCTCTGGTAATCATGACAAATTAATACATATTGTATATATTAYACGTTATTAATATATATTCTTCTCTCTTTCATATTTTGTGGTGAACAGGATAAATGTTCTGAGAGCCACAACAGCAACCTGTCAGCTCCTGCCCAGGAGCAGCATCTCCCATTGCTGCCTTTTTCACCCTAGAAATGGAACTTGAGATGATTTTAATATAGGAGGTGATAGAAAAGTGGGTCTTTATTGGAGCTATTTTACATTAATATAAAATATTAATATAAAAGATATATTCTATTCTATTCTATTCTATTCTATTCTATTCTATTCTATTCTATTCTATTCTCTATTCCATTCCATTCCATTCCATTCCATTCCATTCCATTCCATTCCATTCTATTATATTATATTCTATTCTGTTCCATTTCATTCCTATTCCATTCCTATTCTATTCTATTCTATTCTATTCTATTCTATTCTATTCTATTCTATTCTATTCTATTCTATTCTATTCTATTCTATTCTATTCTATTCTATTCCATTCTATTCTATTCTCAATATATATCAATAAAGACCCATTTTCTATCACCTCCTATACTAAAAATCACCTCAAGTTCAATTTTAGGTTGAAAAAGGCAATACCACCACCTCAGCACGTCCCACAGAAATTATTTCCCTTTGGAGGCCACCAACACAAGCAAACCCATGCACGAGGAGGAGGAATCACCACAGGGATGCTCTGGCAGCGATTTCCCTGCTCCCCTGGCACAGCTGCAGCCCCTGAGCTCTGGGATTTCACCTCAGCACAGAGGAGAAGGTGMTCTCAAAACCTTCCTGTGGAGAACAAACCAGAAAAGCCTCAAAACAACCCCCAAATCCTGTCATCTTCAGCAGCTAGCACATGTTCAATACCATTAACCATTAATCAGAGGCTCTCACAGCTGGAGGATGCTTGGTTCTGATGCTGCAAATGCACTCATGAGAATAAATCACTTTATGTCTAAGAGAACTTAAAAAAACTTCCAGAAGCTTAAGAATACACAAAAATTCTGAGGTGAATTTGTTTGTTCAGAAAGCTTTGTTYTACCTGCAAAAGAATGCTACCATCTGCTGAAGTTAAATGTGAATTCATGCAGTTTTTCTTTGAGAAAAAGTAGTATTTTGAATTAAAATCCCCTTTTCATTATCTGCTAGCTCAAATCAACTTAGTCCTCCAAATAATTCCAGAAAATACATAATTGTGCCAATAATATTCCTTAAAGACAGCAAAAATTTACACAGAGTTAAAATACTTACAAAACTGTTAAGCAAAGATAAAAAAGTAAATTGTGCAATAATTTCAGCACAATTCCTTAAAGATAGAAAAAAATTACATATAATTAAAATACCTACAAAACTATTAAACAAAGATAAAAAAAGTAAATTGTGCAGTAATTTCAGCTACCTCCCTTACACAGGGGAAGAATGTAAGAAGCAGCACACAATCCCAGAATGAAGAGAGAATTGTCCTGAGTTTGAGTGGCTTAGCTCTCTGAAAAAGGGATGAAGATAATTCCCAAAGCTGAATATTCACCCTGAAGTTATTCCCAACCATCCATCCTGACCCCCAGAATTAGAATCTGTCCTGCACTTCTTTCTTCAGCAAACCACCCATGAGTGACACACAGAGGCCAGGCTTGATATTTTAAAATAGCTCATTATTTCCACAATCTAGATAATTTTTTTTTCATTCAGTCCATCCTCTTCTTACAACACAACAGAGAGAAAAAATTCCCAAACTCAGGAATTCTATGCTGCTCAAAAGACAGAAATTTGTCACTCACACAGTGGCAGGAAAACCACAAAAGTACAAGAGATCCACAGAAATCCTGAGGCTCCATTAAGGAGCAGCCTTAAGAAGGGAAAGGCTGAGACAGGGACGAGAGGCTTTGGAACATCAGGGAAAACACTCAGAGAGCGTCAGCTGGGATTCAGTGCAATCCCACATCCCAAATCCTGTACACAAAGACGTCCCTGTGAGGCTCCAATGTACACTCAAGGTTAAATCACTGACACAGCACCTCTGAGGAGGGAGCACTGCCAATAAAAAGAGAGGAGTTATCAAAGCCCTGGATGATTCCAGATTTTGGCTGCAGGGATTCTTAATGCCAGGGTTGAGTGTCTGTGGCAGGATGAGCTCCGAGTCCTTCCCAAACACTGTCAGAAGAGTGCAAATGACCCAAAGCTGGTGCTGCATCAGCTTCATCATCAGCTCAGTACCTGCTGCAGTCACCTGGCAGGATGGTGACCCTTTATATGCACTGAGATGGATCCTGTGGCAGCAATACCACCCTTCCTGCAGGCTGCTCAAAAATGCAAAGTCCTTCTGAGACTTCAGGGAAAACAAAAAATACCAGCACAAAAAGTATCTAAGAATCATCCCATTTTTAGTTAACAATTACTCCTTTTCCAGTCAGTTATGCACCATGAGTGTGAGAGTTTCCAGTCAATTCCCCCAACCCCTCGCTGGTGCTGTAATGCAAGAACACATTTTGCAGGTTGCCCACAACTCTTGTGGGCAGTAATACCCTGACATGCCATTTATTTGAAATCAACAGCTGTCGCTGCTGGCCAAACAGCGACAGAAAAGAATAGATACAAAACACACAAAAGTGGGTGAAAAAAACAGAAAGAAAGAAGAACTTTATTGTGGGACAAACCTCTTTCATCCACTTTAGCAACCAGAGTATACATTTGTGTCAAACATACATTGGTCAAGAGACAGCTGTTTAATTAGTAATCAGWACATAATTGGTGAGTTTGCAAAAGCTACAGTATTAGTAATGCTTATAATTTTCAGCCACCTGCGTTATCAATTCTGCATTCCAATCTGCTTTTCTCAAGGATGCAGCATTCCTCCTCCATGTAGGCTGTTAACATCCCTTTCTTTTCCCAGACCTCAGTCATACACAATAATTGGCTGGGTTTCAGAATCAGRGCTTGTAGGGCCCTTTTCCCCCACAAACAGCATCATTTTCTTGGATCTGTGATTTTGGATCTATCTACCTGAGGCTGATTTACAGTGCTGGCTGTTCAGCACTGCACACTGGAACCCATCAGACATCTGAATATCCTTCAGCTGGGATAGGAAATTAATACTTTCACAGGCAGGAACCAGCTCCCTTGCATTTAGAAGCTCAAAATGTTGCTTCATTAATTTTCTGCAGAAAGAACCTCTCTCCTAGGTGATTTCAGATGTATCTGCTGCTGTAGCCATGCTCAACTCCTCCCATTAAAAAAAAAAAAAAACATGCACATCTCCTTGCATGCATCTCTCAGCACAGGTGCTGAGCTGGGAAATGTCACAATGTTTGATCTGAGCTGTGGCAGASACCGGGCAGCTCCCAAGGAAAAGTACAATTAAGACTAAACTTCTGTCAGACTGGATTAAGTCGTTTTATCAAGCAGTCTCCATGTCGGATTTAAACCAAAAATAAACATTACTTCAGATAAGGGGTAATTGTCTGTGGGTTTCTGTACCGTGCTCTGCTGCTCTCCTCCCCAGCCAGCAGGAATTTTGTTGTCAGTACATCTCTTGTAACAGCACCATTTATTTTCTCTGTCATAACTGGAGTTCTTCCAGAGGTAATGGCTTCTATTTTCTCCAGTGCTACATTAAACTGCCTTCAAGCATCCATCACAACGTTTATGGTCTCTCCATTGATGACAGAGCAAGGGATTTGTGCCTGAAACTGCCTCTTCCCTGACCTGGTTTGCATGATGTTGCTTTGCAAAAATAAATTCACATGGGGGTGACAAAAATTTCACGCAGGATCCTACAAGCAACACCACCAAAAATCAGCACCAACTGATTACGGATATTTCCCCAGCAGTGCTCAAAACCCTGCTCACCAGGTCAGAAGAACAAGGCAGAATTTATAAAACCTGACCCCCAGTAATCTCTTCCGTTTAGGAAAAGGAAACAGTGATGCAATTAATAAAGAGGATAATAAAAAGGTTTTCCCTTCCTCCCAATTTCTGGCCACATTTACTGAAAGAAATGGCTGGGTTTAAGTAAAAATTCTTCACTTAGGGGTTAYACCACAAGTAATTTATATTCTTGAATTCACAACCTTCTTGTTAATTCCTTATTTTTATACACATCAATAACTTGTTAATAAAATCCAACTCTACATATTCAGAAAGACAGCAGTAAGATTTCTCTCTTCAGACTATTCTATTCTATTCTATTCTATTCTATTCTATTCTATTCTATTCTATTCTATTCTATTCTATTCTATTCTATTCTATTCTATTCTATATCAATATTTATCAATAAAGACCCACTTTTTTATCACCTCCTATGCTAAAATCACCTTGAGTTCCATTTCTAGGGTGAAAAAGGCACCCTATTCTGACCTTGAATCCAACAGGAATCCACCCTGAATRCAACCAGAGCAGTAACTGCACACGTGGAACTGAAAACGTGTGGAACTTGAGGTCAGAGGGATTTTCCTCTAATAACGGAATTACTCCAATGGAAACTCTATTACCGTGGAATCACCACGTTGCAAATGCAACATTAAGGAACTGTAATTACACAGGAAACTTTTATAATCCTGATAGAAGGTGTAAATCACAGAAATAAAGCTGTTGGTAGGACGGTCATTGCACAGGGTTTCTCCATCCTGCTGACTTGGGATTATCCTGGATTTTGGGAAGGAATTGTGGCTGCCCCTGGATCCCTTTGAGTGCCCAAGGCCAGGCTGGACAGAGCTTGGATCATCCTGGGACAGTGGGAGGTGTCCCTGCCCATGGCAGGGGGTGAATGGAATAACTTGCAGATCCCACCCAACCCAAACCATTCTGTGACTCTGTGACCTGCG